CAGAAGCACTCCCAGGGTTCGAAGATAAGCCCACCACCGTTGGTGAAGCTACCTTCGTTGTGACTTTCTTGCCGCGGCAAGTCCTGGACGTGTGGCCAAAGTTGCCACAGTTCATGCATGTACCCCTAGCAACGCGGTCACGCCACACCTCGTATTCTAAACCAATTTTCACCCATGCGGGTGTTCCTTGGTCGCCCTGACCCGTGGACCGTACTACCTTCTTCTTCCCGGTCCCCCTAGCCTTTTCCTCGATCGGTGCCACGACTCCACCATCTGAAGTCTCACCACCCCCATCGTGCTCTGTGAACTCCCCAAGATCTGAGTAGTCGTCAATCTCCGTCGTTTGACCATCGTGGTCAACGAACATTAACTTTTTCTTCCAGTCTTGGGGCAGTCTCTTCCTACCATCATTGGATGCCTTATGCGCAGATCCTAGCTTTGCCTCTATGTCCCGTGCTTTCTTCCTAAAAGAAGCAAAAGTGTGCTGGTTGATATAGGCCTCGTCAACCAGCTTGGTCCTTACCTCTGTAGGGAGGCACCTTAGGTAGTCCGTTAGGAGAACCTGTGGGTCAAAACGCACACCAGGTACCACGAGGAGGCGTTCTACGGTGTCTGTAAGCTCTCTAACATCCTTGAACCTACGGGAACAAAGGTTGTTGATAGCATCGGTGGCCTTTTGAGCCCCTTGCGGGTCATTCCACCTGTTGTAGACGGACCGTACGAACTGTTCCAATGTCTGAGACTGAGCCCAGGCATCGAAATCCTGACCGTAGCCCTGTTGCTGCACCAAGCCATTCAACCAGCGGGCTGCTGATCCTTCTAAAAAGGAGGCAGCCACCACAACTTCCTGTTCTGGCCTTGTGAGCTTGTGCCTCACATAAGTAGGCACAATACTCACCCAGGTGTCCAAGTTTTCCTCCTTCTCCTTGTCTCCAGAGAAAGGCTTGGGACTCATTAGAGGTATCTTGGGCATTCACTGCATCGGCTGCATGGGCCCAGGTGCTTGCTGCAGCGGCTGCATACCCACTGAAACAGGCTGTTGCACACTAGCCTGGGCCTGGATGGACAGTGGGACTGTAGTGACCACTGTTGTAGATGGTACGACTGAGACTGAATGAACCGGACCACTAGATGCTACTAAACCACCCGGGGAGGGTATGCCAAACATGGGAGAAAAAGTTTGCCCTGTGCGTTGCGGCATCGATGATGGACCCACACCTACAGGGGGAACTACAGCAAAAGGCGGCTGCCTCACCATTGTGCGAGGGCCCCGAAGTTCAGCCAGAATTTGTTTCTGGCCTGCTATCAAATCAGCCAACAATTCCTGCTGGACGCTTTGCGCTTCCGCTACTGGAAGTAAGGCTCCTCGCAACACGTGAACAACAGGATCCAATATTGACTCATCCAGTCTTTCCAGTTTGCCCAGCTCCTGAGCTCTACTCTCTAGTCTAGCTTTTCTTTGCATAGCTTTCCTTCTCCTCTCTACTACTTCGTCCATCTGCCGCTTTAGCTCATCCTGAAGTTCTTCTGCTTGCCGGATTTCCAAGTCCTCCGGCGTGATAGGAGATTGGCTGACTCGCACATGACCAATCTGACTAGTGGCTGCCTGAGTACCACTCTGACTGACTCCTGACGAAGTGGGCTGTGTAGAGGATTGCGTCATAGATGAGGTAGCCATGGCTGTACTGATGCTAGCTGTAATTCTAGCTCTAGCACTGTCCTCAGTTGCCCTCGCTCTCCTTGCCGCTGCCCTCTCTCTAGCCTCTCTCCTCAATCTTCTCTCGTCTCCTGGACCTAACTCCAGGAATGTCAAAGGTCGACTGCGGGCAGTCCCGCGAGTAGTCCTACGATCGTCCCCTAGTAGCTCCTCCTTACTTGTGCTTGCATCACTCATGAGCTACAGTGTGTGTGATCTAAACTAGAACCCACGCTGAATCCTACCTTAGCTTGACACACAACCGATTATGAAACACAACTACTTTCGGTCGGATGGGACAAAACAGTTGGGTGATATAGTTACAACTAATGTCAGGTCCTACAGGATATATTACATCTATTTTTAGATTACCCTGGAACAGATTGCAATACAGCAAGGATCTAATCTATCTGTAGCTGTCTGTCAGTTGTCAGCAAGTCCGTAACAACTAGATAATCAAAACAAAGAATAACATCTCATGTTGGAGATGTATGCTTGATGGCAGATTGTCTGTTGATTGCCACTGTGAACAATTACTGGAATCCCCCCTCCCCCTGTATCCTTCTTGAGTAATCACTTTGTGTCAACGTTCTTGAGCATCTGGTTGAGTAGCGTGTCTAAAGGTGTGCAATCCGGTCCCACCCCTGTGCCTCAAGTCATCATCGAGCAAGGCAGCCACAACACTCTTATTTACCCTCGTACGCCGACGAGCCTTACACCCGGTTGATCTGGCTGATCAGGAGGATTATTAAGAGCGCCCCCATCTCTTYAGGAATTATTTAACGTCGCAGTCAGGACGACGATCACAGCCAGATTCAATCCGAGTCCCCAACCAGAAATGTTTATAGACGGTCTGGTGAGCGTCTCATAGAGGCTGCCATGCCCGAGTTGACCCCTATTTGCGCAAGCAGCAGAACAAGGACTTGCGCCCAAGCATGCGTGTACTAGTCCCAGCGGGTTGGCATGGTGACCGTGACCCGAGTGCTTCGTCCAGGGCCCTTCAGAGGCTTCGCCCGTCTCCCACCAGCTTGCTGCCCAGGAAGAATGTCGACTCTCAAGGTTGAGCGCTCGCGACACCTCACATCGAGAGGACTCTCAAGACAGAACTCACTTCCTCACGGTAAGAAGAGATGAAGAGGGTAGATAAGGAAGAGAGCAACGTACCTCGTAAATGCTGCCCCCAACCACAGATTTCTCACCGGTAACCTGATGTGCAATTATGATGACCGGTCTTTGCTTCGGCACAACCAACAGCAGAATGCAGTTCCACCTCAGCTTAATATGTCACATCAGCAAGTTCTCATCATCCAGCATACATCCCATATGTCACCACATAGCTCCCTGGCGCGCCCACACAACCCTGGGCCGCCTAATGTTCGACGCCAATGCCGTATCACTGCCCCACACCTCATGCGAAGCACCAATAGCTATTGCGAAGAACCAATGAAGCGCAATATGAACCAGCTCTGATACCAAATTGCAAGGAAAATAAGCAACAGCGAGATGACAATCCCAGATCACACCATCACATTGCAAGTCAAATAGTCACACCGTGTCCAGATAGCAGCATTGCACCAATAATACACCAATGGAGTTTCGTAGCACTGAAAACCAATGTTTATGGAGAGCACAGTCTCTCCTCTTCAACACAAGTATCCAGTTCCCTTACACTCACACTTGGCGCTCAGCGCCCAGCCTACTTCTACACAGCTACTACAGACTACAAGAATTGCAACTGTTGACATCAGCAGCAGCCCGAAGTACTTGAAGATGCTGCCCATGCAGACCATCGCCAATACAAGGTACGTGTCCTCACATCATCATCATCATCATCATCGTTTACCTATCCCCTGACTTCACCCACACCTGTCCTCTCTGACATCCGAAGAACCACCCCTGCGCCTCACTCTGTCCAAGACAAGCCCGCTATGGAGGCTGGCTATGGCGCTGCCCTCAGCAGCGCCCTGTTCCCCTACACGACCGCACGTGTGTTGCCCCTTGCTCCTCTGCCGGCAGTCAGCCTGCGAGCTTTTGCTCCAGCAGCGCTGCCACCCAGCCAGCAAGTGACCGAATGAGCTGGCTGGCCAGAGCTCTTTCCTTTATGGAAAAGAGCTGGCCAGCTCTCGCAGCCTGGCTGGGCTGGCCTGGGCCCAGCAGCTTCCGGAAGGCCCCAAGATGCTGTCTGGATGCAGCAGCTACTGGGCTGCTGGGCCTCATTTTGGGCGCCCAACTGTCTCTGTATGAGGCTGCGAATCACGCCCAGGGCCTGCATTCTTTGGAAAGGCCCGGTAGGCCGTGGAAATGTCTTCGGTACTCGGCCTGTGTTTCTTTCAACCAACTGGCGCATAGCAACTGCCTGGACCCCAAATATGAAATTGACAGTCGAGGGCCTCTTGCAAAAAGCCAGGCCCGCCTTCACTTAGGGCGGGCACCTCCGCCTTCACTTAGGGCGGGTAAGGCTGCAGACAGGGCCCCGTAGGCCTACCGAGGACACTGATCCTCACAGATTCTTCGTTGGTGTTATATTGGTGCATTTCTGCTTTCGGGACCTGTGATACAATCTGGCCTTCAATGTGATTGTGCATTCTGGATATTGTCATCTCGCTATTGCTCATTTTCCTTGCACATATGCGTTCTATTCGTTTGTTTTTTCCAAAATTTCTAACTTGAATACAACGCATATGTGTTATGTTCAGGGGAAGAAGGTAGTGCTATGACTTAGATCTGGCTAGCCTCACACAATAAACGGGAAACCTAACTGATGACTGCCAACTCGCTGGCCGAACATAGTAGGGTGGAACATAACTCAGTGCTGAAAAACCCATCATGATCACTCTCCCGAGTCCCCCCTCAGGCTTCAGCTCCTTTGCCAAACGCATGCGCGGATGAGACCGAGTCACTGGGACAGGCTTTCCCCCTCACCTAGCCTATATCCCATAAAGTGGCATAAACCAACGCGGCACAGCCACATCTGGTGTAAATCCACTGTGAGTGCGCCCCAGCAAAAAGAGTCTCAGCACAGATCACTTTTCCAAAGTGTCAGTTTAGGAATGTACAAGACTTAAGAGTGAGTGCGCCCCAGCACGAAAAATCTCTGCACAGAGATGATTAGCATGGCCCCTTATCTGCATCGTCCCGGTCATTTCCGTGCTGTTACCTTTGCGGATAATTCATGGACCCTGTGAGACACTGGCGGTATAATGGTGCACAGTGAGAAATATTACCTCTTTCTCTCACAAGCCTAAGGTGGCAGAGTCCCGCTCGCTCTGCCTGAGGGTCAATCAGGAACAGTATGTGGATGTGCACTCGCAAGCTCTGCATCCTCCGGAGATTCAGAGAACAATTCAGCTAACCCCTCCCTTCTCTCCCTGTGAGAAATATTACCTCTTTCTGTCACCAGCCTTGGGGTTTAAACTTTAAAGCCCCTTTGATTATTTCTTTTACTTTTTTTTTTTTTTGGTGCTGTTGGTTTATTTGGTGTCCACTCTATGGACTGGTGATAAGTCTGCCTTAAAAGGTGTGGGACGTTTGTTATAATGACTAAAAAAATCCTGAAATTTTGGGGGTCTGTTAACCACTTCTCGCCTCTGCTGAACCTGGCCCGGAACCGTCTCTTCCCTGTGTAGATCGGACAGATTCTGCCACGAATAGTGAAGTATTCCCTCCAGAGGCTGGTGGCTGTGTCCTCACCTGCCATGCGATTGTGTGGCAGAATCCACTCGCTCTGCCTGCCAGTGGTCAATCAGGAACGGCACGTGGATGTACACTCGCAAGCTCTGCAGACTCCGGGGAACAATTCGGCTAGGTAGGAACCCTCCCGCCTCTGCTGAACATGGCCAGGCAGCTTCCCTTCCTGTGTATAGATTGGACCGATTCTGCCACGAATAGTGTACTCCTCCCTCCAGAGGCTGGGGGCTGTGTCATCACCTCCCATGCGATTGTGTCTCCACACAGCAGCTGCTACAGTTCAGTTAGCTTGCACACGACATAACCTCTGCTACAAACACTGTGCACACTGTGAAGGGGTGGACACTGCCAGCTCCTCCGCGAGAAGTTTGACCTGTTGTCTTGCATTCATTTCCCCCCCCCCCCCCCCCCCCCCCCCYCCCCCCTATTGCTTGCCTGATATGCCATTGTGGCCTTGACGTGCCATACCTGCTGGCATGTCAGCATCATGTCATGTGTCGTCAGTGCTTCCAGGAAGCTGTCATGGAAATAATGTGTCTCTCTACTGCGTCGCATGTCAGCAACATGTCATGTGTCGTCAGTGCTTCCAGGAAGCTGTCATGGAAATAATGTGTCTCTCTACTGAGTGGACTAGCCTTGATGCTGTCACCCACCACCTCCTGTACGTTCATGTCGCTACCAGGCCGACCTGCTGTCGCTGACCGGATCTTGCAA